GAATCGGTTAGGCAGACAAGAATGGAAGGAAGCGTAAGAAATCAGAGGACTTTGGCTCTCAGACTCCAGAAAATATCTTCACATATTTTCTCATGTAAAAAAATAGAAATGATTATGACCACACCAAGTTTAGATTGAGGCTTTAAATCCTGCACTGAGCAACATTTTACCATCTTCCCAAAGAAGCTTCACCTTCTTTATCTGTAACAACAACAAGATCTCACAGCTCACGACAACGCTGCGAGCATCAACCACAAGCGCAGCATGAGCTAGTCAGATACTGCAATCTAGACAGCTACAGAAAGGTGGTGCAGCTGTCTAGTTTGCTTTTTGAAATACGACTTTGTAGAAAGTATGACATATTTGTGGTATAATAGTTTTGTCTCAAGTCAATCTGATACAAAGAGCCACACCATGACTCAAACTTTAAGCAGAGGTTTTGGATTTGCAGCACACAAGTATCAGTCTGGCACATTTGGCTGCAGCCTGCAGTGTCTGTCACAAGAATGCATGTGCGTGCAAATGTATGTGCACACATACAAATGCACGCACACACTCCTCTATCCTGTGCCGGCAGATCCCGGAGACCTCTAATGCTGTGTGACTGCAATCCCCAGGGATTCTTTCTGCACTACTGGATGAGCTCCCCTGCCTTTGTGTTAAGACATCAGGGAATCCCTACATTCGCTTGCTTCTCTCATTCTTTATTTGCCCATTTGTTCCCCTCACAACCCCCACAGCGGGTGTGCTGCATGAAGGTTCGGTTATCATCACCGAGGTACCCTGCTCGAGACAACGATACAACAGCCTCAAATGATAACCGCACCTATTGCTTAGAGGAGCCGAATGAACCAATTTAGGGAAGCGTCAGTATGACAAATTACAGTACGGCAGGATAATTTCTTACACTGCAATGGCTTGTTGTTTATGAAGGAAACAGCAGTGTACATTTTGGATCTTTCACATTGGCCTTTAGGGGTTCATAATAAAAATTATGCAATATATGAGCTCATTAGCTCAGCAGTGTTGTTTAAATCTACTCAGTGGACGGGGCTGACAGATGAAAACGTTGCCAGTTCTCGTCTGAATCTACTTTGTCAGTGTTAAGTAGCCACTCTGGACAGCAGCCAACCCTGTCTGAGGTCTAAGAGCCACTTGGGAAAGTTGAATTGGGCTTTTCTATTTTCACATTATACTGGCTGTTAAGATGTAACACTTGAGGCCAAATAAGAAAAGTAAATACAATTTAATTATGGATCAGCCCACATGTCTGACCTAAGGAGCAAACTTGCTCCTCATTTCAATCGGTGCTTCAAATATATATTTTTTTAAATCAAATATTGCAAATTCAAACAAGTGACAAATTTAAAAAAAAAGAAAAGAAAAAACTGTTATTTTGATTACACGAGAAAGAAATTAAAAGTTTTTTTTTCACCAGTTGTGTAAATACCATTAGGTGATTTCTTGTTGCTTGGATATTTCAAAAAGTATTCAACTTCATCCTCTCTAAATCAAAAATTATTTAGCACTTAAAAAAAAAAAATACCATCTACAAACAAATAATTCACTCTGGAGCCTAAATCACTGATGAAAAAATGAACTATTCTTGAGTGATAGCTCACTATCACGCTGTTGATTCAGACAAAACAAGGCAATCAGAAAACATCCTTTTTGCCACTTTTTCCTCAATTTTCTGTCATTTTGTATCCCGAAACAAAAACACACAAATATGCATTTGAGTCACCGATGATTACTTATTCTCCACGGCTGAGGCCCCAAATTGATGGAAAGCCAACCAAGCATAAAATATTAATAAATAAATCCTGCATACATCATGTTTTCCTGTTGGTAGCTGAGCAGAGGTTTTTTTACATCCTGCAGCTGACAACATTTCAACCACCAAATGGAAGAAGAACTTCTCATTTCTGAATCACCCACATGCACCTCTGCTCATCTGAAGCAAAACCCACCTCTGAACAGCAGAATGAGGTCAGCCTGTTTCTTTATCAGCGCAGCCAGAGTACAATGAGCACTGTGTCACACAACCAGCCTAGCCTCCATACATTCAGCAGCATCCCGAGGCCACTGCTGTGCGCCTGTCACCTTTACGGTGAAATCCCCATGAAAAGACCTGGTGGGATATCCTGGTGACTCCGCGGACAAGGTCATCACTAATTAGGCTAAAACTTGGTTTATTATAAGAAGAATAGGATGAAACAGCCTTGTTACACGGTCACTTCTTGTCACATCAAACCCAGCTCAGATCACTTGATCTAAACACGCATTGTTTGTGCTTTATTTATGTTTCACATCATCTTTAACAGCTCTTCGGTCTGCTGGAACAAGTTCAGCAGTGCAACACATTCTCAACAGGTTATTAAATTAACGAACAGGTAAATCTACCGTCGAAATCAGCGGAGGCAAGAAAGGAAATACCAGCTTTCTGCTGCAATGCACCTGCCCAAACGCGCCTAACTTTAGGTAAGAAGCGGGGCTGTCTGGACCCACTGATGTGTGCTGAGTCCTCTGAGGTCGTGGTCGTGATGTTGGACGGAGAGAGCCCCCTCCCCTCCTCTTTCGTCCCCGCAAAACAAGGAAAAGGCACAAATAAAACATCAGGAACTGCGAACAAGCTGCACCTGCTGACCATATGTGCCGTATGCAACGCGCCGGTGTTTCAGCGTCCCGGAGCGCTGCCGGCTGACCTGCAGAGCGGCGGTGTCTTACCTGGTGTGCCCGCCTTTCACGGTGAGGGTCCGGAGGGGGGTGAGCACGGCCGGCTGCGGAGTCAGCCCGAGAATCATGAACCGTGTGAGAGCCTGTCGGTGCGCCTCAGCACCGTCTGAAGGCAGAGATCCACAGCCAGGGTGTTCCCGACAGGAGGGGGCGTGGTGTGTGTGTGTGTGTGTGTGTGTGTGTGTGTGTGTGTGTGTGTGTGTGTGTGTGTGTGTGTGTGTGTGTGTG